GAAGAAGGGACTTGAAGAAGGGACTTGACAGTGACAAATGTACATTCTTAACGAGAGATTTGAACTGCAGAACTTAACAGTTTCAGTCCAGTAGAAATGGGGTACTGAAGACACTCGTTTGATATCATTAAGCCAGATGGTAAGTCAAGAGCTCCCTAAGCAGTGTTTAAAGGAGAAGTAGGATTTTTATGAGTTCAATGCATTTAGTTCAGTGCATGTAAAGCCTTCTTGCAAATTTATTAGGACTTTCCCTCTCTTTTGTGACACTACAAGGGATAAACAACATTTTGCTTTTTATGCTAATGAAAATGGTGTGATGTCATCCAAGGCAGAATAGTAGTGGCCCCATAGGTCTATGTACAAATAACGTACATGTATGTATCGCACCTTTCTACATTTCCGTAGAGGAAGTTTTACTTTTTGGTTGTTTACTATCTTACATAGCTTGTTTGTACAATAACAATGGCCAATGGTTCCTAGTTCAAAATAGTTCCAAACATTGTTGGGGAATAATTATGAAAGCCTAAGTTTTTTACTTATGCTCTATTGACAAGTAGTGCCTTGTGAGACAAACAAAAAAAAGAGCCCGCTCTTAAATGTGTTGAAAGGATTTTCTAAGAATGGAAAAACTACCACCTCCGTCACTTTTAATGAAAAAAGTATTTGCGCATTTCGATCTTGTGTGCATTGTCGTGACACAAAGTAATGTGTGTGAAAACAAGTTGAGCTGAAAATCAGATGCATGTTACCTTTAAATTGTACAATTTTCATAAGAGCGTTAATTTGCCAAGCGACCGGATATTAGCAACTTCAGGACAAAGGGCTTAAACAAAGGCCAATAACAACCAGCTTTTAAACTTTTATTTTAGACAAATTTGTTGGAGTCCTCGGATCTGAACCTAAAAGATTTCTTTTCTTTTTTCTATTGACTGCGCTTATTTGCAAAGGTATGCTTTCCAGGCCTACAATCATACTTCAGACAATTTCTTGCGTGGTTGGCCATACAGTGTTCTTTACTGCTGTGAAACACGTTTTCCCATGGACACTTGACAATAAAGTACAAAGACATTAACTTCATGTACATTTATAATTTATTATATTCACTTTTCAATTTACAGGTTTCTTACAAGTATCTGCAGAATTAGTTTTGAACAGTAAATAATGCAATGTGTAGCTGTCCACTTGAATAGGTTTTCCACCGGCTGTCTCAACTCGGGTGTGTCTGCCATGTTTTAATTTACAAATAATACAAGCAATTCTACTAACGATGTCTGGAATCAGAATAAACAACACAATACATGTAATTGGTACATAGTTTCAAATAGACAAAAATAATGATGTATAGGAAATTACCATATATGGTTGTATACAAAATGGAGAAAAATGCATAAACTTTGTGTTAATGTTCTATTTACATAAATCAACAGTGGAAACAAATCCCAAAAATATTCTACTTCCTAGATAACCTTCAGATCTAAGATTACTATGCAGCAACAATCTACATGTATGTGATACTTGAATAAAGTGAGAAATAAAGTTTCATCTACCAGAAGTGACAACACTTTTCAGGAAATGTTACCAAGTACAAGGACTATGTGAGCCGCACATAGTATTGCTCATACCTAGTGTGGATATTCCCTTGTTCTCATGCGGTGAGAAAACTTGTTGAAAATATTAATTTTTCTAGCTCTGTACACACCCTCTTAAACCAGCTTTTGTGAACGCTTTCCTCGACTGTTCCAATTCCCTCTACTGTGAATAACCCTAACCCCAAATACCTCTAAACCTGTTTTTCAGAGGAAGGTGAACATCTGGACATTTGCGAGTCGACATAAAATTACTTCACTATCTGCATTTATTGTTGTTGTCGAAACCTCTGAAGGAAATCACAAGACCACCCAAAGACCAACTCAAGACTTCCGGTTCTGAAGTCAAGTCACAACCTATTCAAATGAACTGAAACAAAAGCATTTCTTCATCACTGTCCACCCTGTTTAATACTTGTAACTGGTATCTTGTGATCAGTCTTGTGACTGGTCTTGTGATCAGTCTTGTGACTGGTTTTATGATTGTCTCGACTACACCACTGTCTGCATTAAGCAGACATCTTTTGTTCTCAGGTCCACACACTTGTGCATGTGCAATTATAGGCCCTTCTATGATGGAATTACGGACATCACTAAGCTGGAACACGCAGCAGTCCCAACTGTTTTTTTAACATGCACCTCAGATTAAGCGCTGCTCTACTGCTGGCCACTATCATGAAGCTTCTCAGCAGGGAAAGTAATGCTAGCCAAACATTCAACCTAGACCTCTGTCAGCCAGGGACCGGTCTCAAGAAAATATACACTGCATGACATGTTTTGTCCAAGATCTTTTTTATTTGCTAAGCAAACATCTACTCTTAGCAAATCTCAAAGTTTAATATGTCCACTTAATTATCAGCCCCTGGCGCAAAGTAAACACTGAATGGTGTAGTTTTGTGCACACTCTGATTAGAAATCAGCCCAGTGTACTTTACGCTGTCCAGCTTGTTGATCTTGATTTCTACAAAATGGTTTTCAGGGATATGAAAATGCCAACATCAGAAAATAAGTCATCCATGCAATGTTTGTCGGTAATTATAAAAGGTGAGCACATTCCCTCCTCCAGTTAAGCACAGAAAAACATGTAGACACTTTTAAACTCCTTACTGTGTTGACAAGGTTGATAGATATTTTATTTAATATTATGAATTAACTGCCAGTACTCAGCATCAGTAAATCTCCACAGAAGTCCACTAGTTTGTTAACCTGTGCTGAAGATAGCAATGAACACCCTGTGCCTACAATTTCCTTTTATTTTCAAGTAGAAGATTTCATCCTGACATTTAAGTGCTTACTATTGCACCCAAAAAAAAAAGAAATTAAAGCTGTTCACCTAAATGTCTGTTAACTGAAATCAGTACTTTTAATCAAATTTTGTCATGGAACTTGATGCACATACCCAGGCACAGTTCACGGTGACTATTTAAACAAAAAACAATCTGATTTATTTGTGAGGGTAAAAATATTAACCAGTATATTTTCTTTTAAAAAAAAGATTAGAAGCGCATAAACTATTTCGGTCAGTTGTACAATATCATGATCAGTGTGACTGTATGATGAGTGCGACTGTATGATGAGTGTGACTGTGACGAGAGTGACCGTATGAGTGTGACTATATGATGAGTGTGATTATATGATGAGTGTGACCGTATGAGTGTGACTATATGATGTGACTATATGACGAGTGTGACCGTATGAGTGTGACTATATGATGAGTGCGACTATATGATGAGTGTGACCGTATGAGTGTGACTACATGTATATGATTGTGACTATATGATGAGTGTGACTATATGATGAGGGTGACTATATGATGAGTGTGACTATATGATTGTGACTATATGATGAGGGTGACTATATGATGAGTGTGACTATATGATGAGTGTGACTATATGATTGTGACTATATGATGAGGGTGACTATATGATGAGTGTGACTATATGATGAGGGTGACTATATGAGTGTGACCATATGAATGTGACTGTATGATGAGTGTGACTATATGATGAGTGTGAGTATATGATGAGTGTGACTGTATTATTGTGACTATATGATGAGAACTATATGATGAGAACTATATGATTGTGACAATATGATTTTCAAAGCTGAGCATCATCCTCCATTTTATAAGATTAAAAGCAACAATACAATATGATAGAAACTGTCACGGCTTTCATGCTGGTTCACAGCCGACTTTCCGTTCATCAGTTTCTTTGGCATTGTTTTCATCCCAGTAGTTCCTGAAACTGGGCCTTGATTTCTCAAAATGATGATCTACTCGTTGCCTTCATCCTACCAATGGTTTACAACTTGGCGAGATGGAGTCATATGTAAAATGTCTTGGGGGGGGAGACAGAAATAAAGCAGTTTGAAAAAGTGATTGCAAAAATTCATCTCCTAATTTCCTCTTGCTGCTGTGCGGCAGCAACACGGTTGAATTGTTTACCAGATATTTGTGAGCATTGTTAGATATTTAAAACAAGATGCTCACTAAAACTTTGCTGCACTTTGAATACTTCCTGTAAATCTAGAGATATTTGGAGAATGATATTACCAAAGGTGGTGACAGGATGGGAGTAAGCGGTTACGGTGAAAGAACTTCCCAAATCGCACAACGTAGATATTACCAATACTGTACAACTTAAAATAATCTCATCTGTTGACTGTTTAAACCAAGTGCCTCAAATATACAGAATGAATAATGACATAACGACATTGCATGCTACTCCTCATACAATCTAGAATATAAAGCTTAAGTTCTTACATAATCTGACATCACAAACACTAGCACTGGCTTGTAAAAACTGGATTGACGACTGTCACAGAGGTTGGAGTCTGGTTAATAAAATCAGCATCGGAGTCTAGTCCTCATAAATTTACCACGAAGTCTCGGGCTATTCCAATGATTCGCAGAATTGGAAAGCCTCCTACATCGTTCATCAAGAGTGGTGACCTGAGTTGAGACTAACCTGTGATTTGACTACATGTAGTAATGGACTTATTACTGGGTACTTTGAGTGACCAACGGAGAAGTATTGTTCCAAAAAAGGGAAGACATAATTGGTTCGCTGTCTTGTTTACAGACCATGTTTCCCTGAACTTAAAGGTTGGGCTCAATGATGATCAAGTCTCCTTGACCAGACTGTTTTTTTTTCCGTCAGTTCCACTTAGTTTAATGCAAGAGTGGCATGGACATGAATTGTCTTCACTAGCTGCTCAGATATTCTATTTTTTAGTCCCCAATACACGCTGCACAAAAAAGCCTGCCCCACAAGATCCCTACAACAGGAGAGAATGGCATCAGTTTGGACATGTTCAGTTCATTACCCTCCAGTGCCATCGAGATGAAGCTAGATTAAGTTCAGTTGTTGTCATCAACAAAGCTAATGACTGCCAGATACTGTCAATGTGAAATTCTGGTTTAAACAAATACAAATCATCAACCTAAACTGCACTGAGCAAGCTGCAGTGAGAAATTATTCACTTCTGACAAAAACAAGACCAGTATGAAATTTCAGTGACAAGCACGACCTGCAACACTCACATCTAAAATGGTTTCTCCAAACCCATTTACAACTAATCTTTGAAAACCTTGAAGACAGGCTATGCTTGCATGGTTAACCACTTCAAGCCGGGGCATTT